CAGCAACACCTGTTTCGTGTTTACAAAAACTCTTTCTAAAATCTGAGGGAGATCAAAACACTTTTAAAAAAAAAACCAAAAATTCCCCCTGCAGATCATTTAGTGTATGCAGCACACTCAATTTGATCACACATTTCCAGGATATCAATTAATTCACTCCTCATTCAGTCATTATTAAGACAGCTTCTGTACTTTTAAGAGATATTTTCCTTGAAGCAAATACCCTTCTGAAGGAAGAAAACATACTGATATGTTAATGGAAAAGACAAAACGAGTGTGTTCTGTCACTGCAATTGTTTTTCAAGCTCTCAGGATTGCAAGATTAGAGCAAATCTTGTGAAGAATTTGGCATCTTCCACAGGATGGTTGTTCCTGAAATAAAGATTTCAGTCCCTTCATGGGCTGCTGGAAGGGGCTGGCAGCGGCAGCAGTGGTGAAATGTGAAAATGTGAAATTTTACCTGGCACAAGACTCGAGAATCCATCCCAAACAACTGGAAACCAACCCTGAAAGGATCTGCAAGTCAGGCAAACAAAATCTATTTGTCCAGCAAGCATTTTCTATAATCTTTATTACATAACCTGCAGAAAATGCATTGCTTTTTTTCAAATATCCACTCGCAGTGTGCTGATGAAGCTCTCTCASGTGATTAATTCTTCTTTCTCTCCCTCATTTGTGTAATTTCATGGCACATATCACTCAAATGTCTGAGTTACTCAGGTAAATAAAGCACAGACAAAAGGAGATAACTTTTTTTGTCTTCTCCCTTTTTTGAAGAAGAGAGTTCTGACTCTTCAAAAACTGCCATAGAGCTTCTAATTTCTTTTTCATTCCATTAATGCATTTCTGTGGTGAAATCAAAGCAAATTTTRCAGTATTTTTACACTGTCAGGAGTTAGCACGCACAACACTGAGTTTTCATTATCATCTGATTGAAGCAAGTTTGCCTGGCTCTGCTAATAAACTAAAGGTTAATGATTTATTACTTTACACCTTTAAGAATATGAGCACATTTTCCAAATGAMAAGGACTGTTTAATTTTCAAGTCTTTTTCTTTTTTATTTTTTTTCTTATGATGGATCAGCTTTAGTCACTGAGGGAATTTTCTGTACACCTTCGCAAAGATTTGTGTCTACATRTATATACAAACAAGGGTGCCCTTTAATGAGTAAACATCTTTAAAAGATACTAACAYTACTAATTTTGAATAAAACTTGGGATCAAGCAAAGGTGAACAGAAAAAGATCCTTTCAGATGATTTGCCTTGAAAATTCAAACTAACATCCCATTAAAAAAAAAAAAAAGAAGYATTCTTYTGCCTCTTYAATAGCAGTCTGCTCTTCTTGAAAACACCAACATAGTTGATATTCGAAGCAATAAAAGCTCAGCTTCCTGCCCTGTAATTATTACGAGATGTAATTAGGAACARCCCATTCATCACTATAAAAGCACAACTTAAGGCTCCCGGAGAACAGATACGGGAAGGATTTGTTTCCACGCAGCTCTCTSAGCCAGGCTGCAGTTTAACAACATCTCTGATAAACCAGAGTAGTAAAGYAATGCAAAGCAGGCCGGGCCACGTCCGTGTTTCATTCCATCTGGGGATCCTCCAGCTCCTCTCTGTTCATAATGCCATAAAAACACTCCTCAGAGCCTCCAGCAAGAGCTGGAGGGTGAATGTGACACAGCCACAACCATCCCAACTCCTCAAAGTTCACCCACTGCACCCCATAACATCCCCAGCCTGCCTGAGCACACCAGGTGAGGGAAAAACTGTGAATSTAGACAAGGTTCTGAGTTGTGTTTGCGAAGTTATCGCTCCAGAAAAGCTCAGAGATGCGCTGGGTGTTTAGAGCGTGGCTTTGGTCAGTTTTGTCACTTTGTCACGGCCACCAGGACGCACCTGCAGCCAGCCCAAAAACCTCGCTCCCCGCAGCCTCCCCAAACCTGTCAGACACCTGCCGGCTTCCCCCGCGCTGGAGAGAGGCACAGGAACACACTGGAGCRCATTTCAAACAATCAGGAATTCAGATGAGGCAACAGGAGGCGTGTGGCTGAGATAGCGATCTCTGCACGCTGCACAAGCACAGCGTCCTTTCCTCGGTTATGTAATAGCCGGGAGTGTTTAACCACTCGCTGGTTTGACACATGCATGTCAAAGCCATCAGCTTTGGGGAGGATCAGCGATTCGGCAGTTCCGGGGCCGTGCACGGTCACCGTGCGGCCAAGGAATGCCACCAAAACCCGCGGAGCACGGGCCAGACCCGGCTCGGGGCTGTGACACCATTTCTGTGTCCAGATCGGCCCCACAACACCTGCCCGGCAGGAAAAAATCGGGGCACGGGCTCAGCCCGACCTGTCACCGCTGTCACCGCTGTCACCGCTGTCACCGCGTCCCCAAACGGGGATCTGAGAGCCCGGCTTGGCCCCAGAGCCATCGCGGGGAGAGGCGGCACCCCCAGGGAAGGGCTCGGTGACTTCCCAGAGTGTCCCCACGCTGCTYCGGGACTTTGGCCCCTGTCCCCCTCTGCGGGCTCAGTGTGCCGAGAAACCCGCACGGCACAAGCGGTGGCATCAGGGTGACCAAACACCCGGTTCGAGAGGCACCAGGGTGACCAAACACCCGATTCGAGAGGCACCAGGGTGACCAAAAACCCGGTTCGAGAGGCGCTACCCCCCGGGCACCTCACTGACATTCGGCGTGCGGTCACTACGGGGGAAAGAAAAGACTCAGGGGAGGAACGGAGAGCGATCAAGGAGGACACGAAACCCTCCGGCTTCGCCTCTCGTCGCCCCGGGAGCCGCACGCCCCGCGGCGGGGCCGGACCGGGGGCGGCACCGGCGGGGGCTTTGGGGGCGGCCCGAGCTCCCGGCTGTCCCTCCCCTGTCCCCGCCACCCCCGGGTGTCCCCACCTGCTTGTCCAGCGCGGCATCCTTGGCGCTGCCCGCGGCGCATCCCTTGGGAGCGGGCACCCGCTCGCAGTTGCATCCCTCCAGCATGTACATGCCGGCGGGCCGGGCGCTCTGCTCGCCCTCGAAGTAGAAGAGCACGTTTTGGTAGAGGGCGAACCACTTCTCGTGCCAGCGGTTGGTCTCCGCCGTCTTCTTGCTGAGGTAGCCGCGCTTGGTGCCCTCCTTGCGGGCCAGCAGCGCCAGGTACAGGGCGTGCCCCTCGTTGTACCGCACGCTCTTCTGCATGGTGCCCGGAGCCCGCGGCCGCGGCGCAGCCTCGCCGGGCTCTCACGGAGCGATTCATGGGCTCCGGCACGCACCGACGGGGCGGCCCCGGCCCCGCGCCCCGCCCGAGTGTCCCCCGGCCCCCGCCCCGCTCCGCCCCGCACCGCCTCCCACCGCCCCACTCCGCCGGCGCCGGCGGCGAGCGGCCCCCCGGGCTCTGACGTGGAGGGGGGATCAGCCGTAAATCCGCTTTGGAGAGAGATTTAAAGAGCAAAGTCGCCGCCGCCGCCGCCGCAGCAGAGCCCCGATCCCTGCCCCCCCAGCCTCCGCCCTTCCCCCAGCGCTCCATCCCCGCATCCCTGCGATCCCGCATCCCTCCGTCCCTCCGGGGATGGATGGAGCTCGGGAACCCGCGGGGATCGGCCGGACCGGGCTGTGAACCCCCAGGGGTGATTTGGGGCTGCCCCGCGCTCGCTCTCTCGAGAGTTTCCTCCTTTTCCATTCTTAGAGCGAAAATCTTGGAAAGCGGCGGGGCGCCGGTAACTTCGCTTTGGAGCTGCGGCGACAGAATCAAAGCGAAAGGCAGCAGAGACACCCGAGTGAAATAGCAGAAACCCGTCACTTTTAACCCGATATTCGCGCKGGTTTAGGGCCGGGGGAGCCCTAAACTAACATTGTCTCCGGTGTCACCCCGGGGCACCTGAACCCCGTGTGCCCTCGGGCACCGCCCCGGCTCGGGCTGCAGCGGCTCGCCGGCCGCAAATTCACCATTTATAGATCCCAAAGGGYGGCTAAAACTCGAGCCACCGAGGGCTGGCACCGCCAGAGGAGAGGGCGGCTCGCACATGCCGAAAAAAAAACCTGCGGGAGTTTGGCGGGGGTATTTTCACGGCAGCGGGTGCGCTCCGGTCCCTGCGCTCAGCGCCGCTGTCCCTGCACACCTTAATTATTGCAAATAAACTCCGGCATCAAGAATTGTTTTACATGAAATGAAGCGGTATGGAAATTTCTACCAACTGAGAGCRCGCTGCACCTTTAATTTAGCGGCTTAAACTTCGTCTTAAGGCTCTTTCGGGAGAAGCCTTTTGGAGCTCTTTCATATGAAAACGTGTTTTGCATGTGTAGCTTTCGCTCTCTTCTGTTTTACTGCGCCTTAAGAGTAAAAAAAAAAAAAATTAAAAAAAAAAAGTGCAACTTACAATATTCATTATTGCTGTATAATTCACAGAATGAGTTAGAAAATATTCCCTGTGAGATCTGTGTCAGGGGCTGTGGGTTTGAGTGTTATTTGCAGGAGCTCCGGACCCATGCAGGGTTGCAAGGCTCTCATCTTGTCAGCCGACGATTTAGCTCAAGAAAAAAACAAACAGATGCACAAATCCTGCTGGAGCTGGCTTAGTTTTGCCTTGTGTCTTCACATTCCGAAATTTGAGCTGAGCACATCCTGAGCCCGGCTCAGGGCAGGCTTGGGACAGGGCTTGGTGTCTGGAACGGGTGGCGGGACCTGCGTTCGTCCCTCCCTGTCCGGGATCCTCCCTGCCCGGGCTGTCCCGGTCAGAGCATCAATTCCATGGGTGGAATTCCACGGAATGCCGTGAGCCTTGATGGGAGCGAATGGCGGGGTCACCGGACCCGGGGGAGAAGGAAACTGACCCCAAAAAAACGCTCAAACTGTCCCCCAAAGGGTGCTCAAACTGCCCCCCAAACAACGACCAAACTGTCCCCCAAAGGGTGCTCAAACTGCCACCAAAAAACGCTCAAACTGCCCCAAAAGAGCACTCAAACTGCCCACCAAAAAAACGATCAAACTGCCCCCAAAATGTTCTCAACCTGCTCCCCAAAAAATGCTCAAAATGCCATGCAAAAAAGGCTAAACTGCTCCTCAAAGAGCACGCAAACTGCCCACAAGAAACCTTCAAATTGCCCCACAAAAATACTCAAACTACCCCCCAAAAAACGCTCAAACTGCCCCAAAAAAACGCTCAAATTGCTCCCCCAAGAGCACTCAAAGTGGCCCCCAAAGAGCACTCAAACTGCCCACAAGAAACCTTCAAATTGTCCCCCAAAAATGCTCAAACTGGCCCCAAAGAATGCTCAAACTGCTCCCCAAAAAACGTTCGAACTGTCCCCCAAAATATGTTCAAAATGCTCCCCAAAGAGAGCTCAAACTGCCCCAAAGGAGTGCTCCAACTGCACCACAAAAAATGTTCAAACTGTACCCCAAAAATGCGCAAACTGCCCCCAAAAAGAGCACTCAAAGTGGCCCCCAAAAAGCACTCAAACTGCCCCCCAAAAAAACGCCTAAACTGCCACCCAAAAAAATGCTAAACTACTCTCCAGAGTGCTCAAACTGCCCCAAAAGAGTGTTCCAGGTGCACCCCAAAAAATGCTCAGACTGACCTCAAAGAGCACTCAAACTGCCCCCCAAAAAACGTTCAAACTGCCCCCCAAAAAACGTTCAAACTGCCTCCCAAAAAATGATCAAATTGTCCCCGAAAAGTGCTCAAACTGCCCCCTAAATAGGCTCGAAATGCGACCCAAAAATGCTCAGACTGACCCCAAAGAGCACTCAAACTACCCCCCAAGAAAACGCTCAAACTGCCCCCAAAAAAACATTCAAATTGCCCCGAAAGAGTGCTAAATGTGCCCCCAAAAAACGCTCAAACTGCCCCCCAAAAATACTCCAACTGCCACCCAAAAAATGTTCAGACTGACCCCAAAGAGCACTCAAACTACCCCTGAAAAAACGCTCAAATTGATACCCAAAAAATGTTCAAAATGCTCCCCAAAGAGAGCTCAAACTGCCCCAAAAGCGTTCTCCAACTGCACCCCAAAAAATGTACAAACTCTCCCCCAAAAAAGTGCAAACTGCCCCCCAAAGAATATTCAAACTGCCCCGCAAAAAAGGTTCAAACTGCCCCCAAAAAAACATTCAAATTGCCCCGAAAGAGTGCTCAATGTACCCCCAAAAATGCTCAAACTGCCCCCAAAAAACACTCCAACTGCCCCCCAAAAAATGCTCAGACTGCCCCACAAAATATGTTCAAAATGCTCCCAAAAAGAGCTCAAACTGCCCCAAAAGAGTGCTCCAACTGCACCCCAAAAAATGTTCAAACTGTCCTCCAAAAATGCGCAAACTTCTCCCCAAAGAATATTCAAACTGCCCCCCAAAAAAAGGTTCAAACTGCCCCCAAAAAAAGGTTCAAACTGCCCCCAAAAAAACATTCAAATTGCCCCGAAAGAGTGCTCAATGTACCCCCAAAAAACGCTCAAGCTGCCCCCAAAAAACGCTCAAGCTGCCCCCAAAAAAGGCTCAGACTGACCCCAAAGAATGCTTAAACTGCCCCCACAGAAATGCTCAAACTGCCCCACAAAATATGTTTAAAATACCCCCAAAAGAGAGCTCAAGCTGCCCCAAAAATGCTCACACTGCCTCCAAAAAACGTTCATACTGCCCCCCAAAAAATGTTTAAACTGCCCCCAAAGACAGCTCAAACTGCACCCCAAAATATGTTCAAACTGCCCCCAAAAAAGCTCAAACTGCCCCCAAAAGGAGTGCTTGGACATTTGACCCGCAGAGAATAGGGTGAGTGTTCCAAAACAAGCGCATCGTACATCACAGAGAAATCCTATAAATCCTACAGCAAGAGCCCATCTTTGCCAAGATAAAGGTTTTTTGCAGGTTTTTGTCCCAGCCAATG